GGGGGGGGGTCAGATTTTGTTTCAAGGCACTCCTGAAGGCAGGTTCTTGCACACCAACCTCCAAAAAGTTCATCCAACCACACAAACATGCCTTTTGGTCCCTGATTTGTGATGGGAACACAGTAACGGAACAGAGAAGTGTCTTCCCCAAGCAGTTCTCACAAAGTTGGAAGTATACAATGTTCGAAGAAATCTTGGTCGGATGAAGAAGACATCTGGGGGTAACACAGAGCCTTGTCCAAGTCCTACTTTGATGAATAAATGCCACTCAACACTTTTATCTAGCTCGTGATATGATAAACTTTACCAGTGGTGCAGCCTTCTGGTAACTGTCCAACTAATCCCAAATACCTTCCCATCTTTGCATGGATATGGTCTTCATGTTGACATCCGGCACTTTCAACAAGCCACTGTACTTAATAATTTGTGAGTCATTTGTTTTTTTTTTTTTTCTTTTATGATACGAGTTAGTCAACAAAGCTCTAAGACAGGGTGTCAAACCCAATTTTATTTGCGGGCCTCATCGTGGGTATGATTTCCTTCAGAGGGCTTTTATGATTGTGAACATAAATGTATGATTGCCTCATATTTCCTGCACACAACAAATTGATGAACATAAAGTTTTTAAATCAGACAACACTTTTTCAATTGTTATTTCAATTATTTTAGACGGGCTGGAAACAAAAAATGCTTGCAATATCTCAATGTTTTTTTTAAGTGATGAGAATGTGCGATTTTGGTCTTTAGCAAGAAACATTGAGCTGATACACATAATTTCATTTCGCTGCCAACATAAAATGAAATCGCTGGCCAAATCTGGCCCCCAGGACTTCAGTTTGTCACCTGTACTAATGGCTTTACTTACCGTAATGAAAAACAATTGGAGACTGTTTCTCATTGACAAACATGAGAAGGTGTTTCAATGATGCATAAAGTATTTACAAACCTAGCTCACATCCAAAGGAGCCAAATGTAATAAAACATGTGTTGTCCCTCTCCTCCTAGAAACCTTTCTACAAAAAAAAAAAAAAAAAAAAAGTGGGAATCATGTCCATTCAACAACAACATATGAGTAAAAGAGTAGCGATGCACCGTGTCTCTTCTCCCTCTAATCGCAGAAGCAGTTGATGCTGTTGAAGTTAGGAGTTCTTCCACAGGAATCTCAGCAAACCGAGCCCTTATTTGCAAACCTGGTCAATTCTCTTGAATTTAGATGTGATGGGATGATGATTTACCTCTGTGACAGATTATGATTGTGAGTGTGAAAGTTTGTTTGTCTGTGTGTGCCCTGCGATTGGCTGGCAACCTGTTCAGGGTGTACTGCGCCTGCCCCCCAAAGGCGTCCGGGATAGGCTGCTCCAACACGCCTGTGACCCTTGAAGTTCCAATAATGGATGGATGTATTATGCACATATGCACATAACTGCCACCTGACGTGGCTGCTTGAAATTACAACCAATGCTAGAAATACAGTAATCCTAGTGTCCACATTTCCACTTAAAAACATGTAGCAAGACAAGTAACAACGCATACTGTTCGTAAAAATAATTTATTCTGAACTGGAAATAAACAGCAAACGGTTCTATTACCTTCCTTATTTGTTCACGTCTTTTAAGCGACACTACTACGGAGCTTTTTTATTTTATGAATTTAATTTTTTAAATTGGTCCTTGAAATTCGGACGAACCAAGCGAGGGACGTGAGTTTGGGGCTACAACGGTGAATTACGTTATGTTCTTGAATGCATCAAAAGTTAGCGGCGTCGGCGGGTCTTCTTTGATGTTGACTTGAACTCTACTTTCCGCGAAATATTCAGGTATACTTGTCATTTTCCCACTATTAAACATAAAAATATGGACACTGAATGCTTGTTAAATGAATGCGTTACAGTATAGACAAAGAAACGCCTCGAAAACCCGTTTTGGTTAAATGAGTCTGTTTATTTAACTCGCACACAGGAGTAACTGCGTTGACATTACCTGCGTCGATTCTTAGTTTTTTTGGGAGCTGAGACAACGCTTCGAAACACTGACCAGTACAAATAAAGTTCAGTGCAGTCTGCGGAGTCCCCGTGTACTTGTTTCCTTTTAATTCACGATCAATTCTACACGTGGCGGTTCGACCCATGCTGGAATCACTTGAAAATGCAATTACAGTATTTGTGCTGTAAAGCGATATTAAACCAGTGACTTCTCCATCAGCTTCTGGTAAACACAAGTCCAGTAAATTGCAAGATGTTCAAAAATATTGATTTTACTGTTGCGCTGAAAAAAAAAAATACTGGTTTACAAAAGCAAATCGGATGGTAAAGAAAGTCCAAAAACGGTGGCATCCATCTTGTAGAATGGAATATACTATTCCTCATTTTGTTTAAACAAAACAAACATGGTTGAACATAGTTATGTTGTACCATGTTTGATCATGCTGTATCTTTAAGTGGCCCAACAAACTGTTAGTATTATTCGTTAAAAACTCTGTTCATTCTTTCTGTTGTACAGACCCATGTCAGACAAGATTGACTTCTTTTGGGAGTCCCTGATTTCATCTGGGAGAAGTAAAAGGCAAACGAAATCAAAGAAGAGCAAAAATGGGTCAAAAAGAAAAAACAACGTAACCTTAAACACGAATGACATCATTCCTAAGGAAAAAAAAAAGCCCATGTTCAACGAAGTAATGCAATCAAAGAAAGACAAGAAGAAGAAAAAGAAGAAGCTACTGGATTTAAACAGTTTACTTGGCAGCAGTGACGCTACAGCACCATTGGAACTGAAACCTGACCTGTCAAATTTGAGAAGCAGCAGCAACATAAGGAAACAGAAGTCAGATCACACTATTAAGGACTTCAAGAAAAAACGGCAAAGGAAAAAGAAAGTGGCATTTGATTTGCCACATGAGAACGCTCGTGTCAAACGTCCCACTTTTGCCTCTGCACATTCCAAGTTCACGAAAGAGTGTACAGGGTTGGAGAAAGCTGCCGTAACAGATTTTGAGCGGGCTTCTCCGGTCAGTGAAATAGAGCAGCATCAGTCTCAACTACAAGATAACGACATTCACTGGGATGAAAGCAACAGCCAGGATTTGTTTATCACCCAAAAGACATGCAGATCATCCTCTTCAGACTCCAGCGAGGAGGCCAGTGACAAATCGACTACTACCACTTTGCAACAAACAGAGATATTAGACAACTATTTGGACCAGATAAAATACTTTGACAAGGATTCTTGTCAGCGTCCCCAAAAAAAGAAGCGACAGAAGACAGTGAAGGTAAGAAGCGCAGAGAAAGACAGATTGCACAGCAGAAAGAAGAAATATTCCTTACAAACAGAAGGCGCAAGCCCCACCGAGTTTCTATGCTCTTTTCATTCAAGTCCTAAAGTGATGAATGTTTACATGGACAAGATGGCCATTGGTGATTGTGCACCGAAGGTTACAAAATCAGAGCAGTATCACCACCAGGAAATTCAGCCGGCTTTTTCACGCTCTCTCCACATACCCCTCAGACCAACAATGTGCACATCTACCCAGACAGAAAACTTTTTCACTGCTGAACTGTCCTCCTACTTTGCTTTCTCCAAAAAGAGAAGACTGGCTTCGTGTTCCGATCTCGTGAAGCCTTTGGATCTGAGTTTGCCACAAAGGGCCAGGAAAGACCTCAACAGGTGTTTGTATGTGAAGGTGTCAAGTCAAGTCAAAGAGGATGAGAAGTGGGCTGAAAACAAACCGTCAGCCAGAGAGATCCACGCGCCTCCATTCTGTTGTTCATCCATGAAAGATCTGGAGATGAATAAAGAGCTTCGTGGTAGTGAGAAGGGGAGAGGAGTGACCGCACCGACTCCTCTGATGGAGTCGGAGCCCAAGTCGGGTGACACGACGACCTCCAGCGACTACAATGAGCCGTCAGGCCAAAGCAAAAAGGTTGACCTGAACCAGGTGAGAACAAACAACCCAGATCCTCATCCCTGACATTCAGGGTCAGTTTTTTACAAAACAGACATTTTCTAGTTTTAGATTAGATCATATTCTATGATTCATACTTTTGTAGTAGTCATCGTAGTTTACTTTATCACACAATAATGAGTGACCTTTTTTTTCAAATATTGCACTCAAAAAATGCTCCATACATAAATAACTAGTACATACTAAAAAGGATAAAATCTAAATTACAACCATTCACATTCACCACAACTGAGTGGCAACTGACCCCATGCTGAAGTTGGGCGAGTTAGCCACGATAGCAACATCCATTCATCCATTATCTGAACCGCTTTATGCTCACGAAGGTCGCGGGCATGCTGGAGCCTATCCCAGCAGTCTTTGGGCAGTAAGCAAAATACACCCTGAACTCGTTGCCAGCCAATCACAGGGCATAGAAAGGCAAACAACCATTCACACTCACATCTAGGGACAATTTAGAGGGTTCAATTAATATATAACATGCATATTTTTGGAATGTGGGAGAAAACCGTTGTATCTAGGGGTGAAAAAAAAGCACACAGGGATGGGGTGAACATGCAAACTCCACACAGTAAGGCCACAGGCCAGAATTGAACCCATGACCTTCGCACTGTGAGGCGGACGTGCTAACCTGTCGACCACCGTGCTGCCCACTACAGCATCATTGACCTTATATTTCATTACAGTGTACTGATTTTTTAAAATTTTATACCATATGTCCAGTGACTAAATTGTAACAAGTTCAGGGTGAACATAAAAACTCTCCTATAACTATTACTGTTGGTATGCACTTGACATAAGGGATGCATCATTTCATTCAACTTTTTTTTTGTTTGTTTGCCAAACAAGGTGAGTATGGACACAGCTGACAAAACTGCAGGAAGGTTCAAGGATTGTTTCCAGTCTTCCATTTTCTATCAGGTTAGTCCTCATTAGGGTCACAGGTGAGATGGAGCTCATTCCAGCTGACTAGGATGAATCACACGTTACACTCTGGACTGGACGGCCTTCAATCCCAGTGCATGTAGAGATTGTGCAGACTGCTCAACTTTTTCTCCACAATGACATTTAGAGCATGACGTCAATTAGTTACGAATCACGTTTGTGGTGTGAGGAGGCAGAGCGGCTTGCAGCAAGAGATGAGTGTACTGGTTTAAAATAGTCCGTCACTTAATTTACTTAAATCGTCATCTATTTTTGGAGCATATTTTTTCAGTGAGGGAGAACCAGTTAACCAGAAAAAAATAAGCCAGACTCAGCTCAGTGGGCCCACAATGAGGACAGGTTCCCTTGTTTGGCCAAGTTGTATGAATTTGGAGGGGCTAACTCCCCACTTAAAATAATTATCCTAAAGCTATACAGTCGTATGCTCTCAGTCCCACGAGCCGTCTTTGCAACTGTCATGGAAAAATGTTCTTTCACTGTTATATAGCAGTGACTTCTGCTGCTGAATTTTTGGACCAAAACGGTAATTTGACGCATTTATCAAATGGCTGCATTGTATTCATTGATTGATGCAGGCTAATTCTTTTTCAGCCTTCTTAACAAGTACGGTATATCTATTTGGTACCCAAAGGTCTGAAATGCACATGAATGTATTATTTGCTTTCAGGTAAGGCCAGTGCAGATGAGGCTGAATGAGTCATTCTTCTTCAAAACCAAAGGAGATGGACATTCACCCAGACCTGAGTCACCTCTGATGAAACTTTCTCAGAGCAGAGTGAATGAGAAAGACATGAGAGGCAAGAGGGGACGCTGAGGTTTATCAGAAATTGACAGTATCCCTGCTGTTGTTTGTCTACCACACTTTACTTACCTTCTTTTCGGAAACACAATTTGTTTGGGTGAACGGCAATTAAATTGTACTTTTGGAAATGAGCTATGTCCGAATTACAGGCAAGAGCACCTGCCCAAGTTGGAAAGTTATCTGAAAGGAGAGTTTGATAATTCAATGCTGAATGTTAAAATGTGATGTTATAGACAGTCTATTGCAATAAGGGAATATAATATCTTTACTGAAAGTTACACATGCTGCCCTTAATGGTCTACTTAACTTGAAATTTCTAAAATACAAATAAAAAGGAGCAAACAGGGGACAGTGAGTCACTGATTGAAACTTCATTTAACATGACATCAAAATTTAATTGTGCCTGAAGAGCTTGATTCCCATCCAGCTCCACAGGTGGAAGAAGACGTAGACAGGGATGGTGACGGGTAGCAGCAGACTGTAGAAACACAAATTGTTGCTGCTCGTGCAGCCCTGAGGAAAGTTTTCATCCACTGCAGCAGAGTAGAACAAACCAAAGAGGGACATGACAGGGACCAGGCCCACCATCAGAGACAAGGAAAACATGTTTGCAGGTGGGTGAGGAATTTCAAATTAATATTGGTGCTATTAGCAGATTAGCGACACCTCTCACACCACTTTGATGGCTATATATGTATATGAGGAGGGGTGCCAACAGTTGAGCCGAGCATGCAAGACGCACAATTCTATTCTTGTGCAGGTGAGTCTGAGTCTTTCTGTACGAGTCTGGCTTCCTGGGGGATCATGTTGGGAATTCCGTCGATGATGGGATATGCGATGCCAAGCTCGTCGTTGATCAACTCGTTGGTCGCGACTTCAAACCTGGAGGGCAGAACAAAGTCACGTGACTCACGGGGAACCTGCTTGGCGTTGTCAGGGCGCAGCCTCTTATCGTCAAAGTGACTGATCACACACAGAAATGAAGGTTTGCTTGTCGTCATTATAAAATTGCATTACGAGACGTTAACCGAAGTGTAAAATATTTTACCTGAGCGGCTTCTTGGACAGTGGACACACTAAGAACTCAAGCAAGGAGGTGTCAAACTCCTGCTGCGATTCGTCCTTCACGTCCGTGAAGTTCCTCACTGACGCAAAAGGAGATGAAGTTGCCTGAATTGAAGGCGAGTATTTTACGGTGCGATGAACAAAAAACGATTCAGTGAAAAATCTGGCCAAAACATTTCGCAACATGACCACAACAGAGCGAAAGGTTTATCCGGTGATTATTTCCGGAAGAACGTTTAGTGCAACTCAAATAAAGGTCCCCCCCTGCTTGGGAGTTACCGTTGCTGAGTTCCGAGCCTATAAATAAAATCCCCATTTTCTGTAATTGTGCTTTAAATACTATATTTATTTTTTTCATGTTTTGTTTCAAGTTTAGTCGTGATCACGAGCATACGTTTGATTCCAAAATGATTCTATTTAATGTGTTTCTACATTTGTCCATGTGGTGGCAGCATTGTTCTGCAGTGCGGAGAAGTACTTTTCCACACGGTATCATCAGTCAAACTTTGGCTTGCATTCCCACCGTGACCCTCAAATTGATGACCTCGACTTGCTGATAACATTGCTTTACTGTCACACAGTCACCAACATATGCAGCGGTATACCACTCAACTGGCCAACACATCAGCCAAAATAGAGCTTAGTAAACAAAGATAAAACCAAGGTCATGCACATCAACAATGTAATCAGTGATGGACTTGTGCTACATGGAGAGACTCTTTAAGAAATATCAAATTTTTCCACAAGACAAGAGAAGTAGAGGAAGACCGAGAGTCACTTGGCGAAGGTGTACCTTTATTTAGATAAATATCACACACTTTGAGCCGTACAACCCATTGTTTGAAGTGATGCTTTATTTTACCCAAAGACAACAAAGCAACATTGAACTCGCAAGCAACAGCATATCTTCATTGAATATTGACAACACCCTATGTCAGGATGAGAAAGGAAGCCCCGGCTCCCAAGATAAAGTTATTTTCTTTGAGACTTGTAGACTTGCAACTTGTTTTAGCGTACGTTACAGCTTTTAGCTGTAACGTACAATAATGTATCTTACCTCCAGCTAATTGATGGCCGATGTAGCAAACTGCAGCCCGGAACCCTTTCTTGTGCGGGTTGTTTTCTCATGAGCTGTATCAATCAACTGTGTTGCGCGCTGGGCTGAAATTGCACTGACACAGAAGAAGGATGTACACAAACAGCACAGATGACTGAGTGGTTCATGGGCGGCTGTTATTGATGTGTCAGTGAAAACATGGTGCTTGTGGACAGGCACACTTTTGCAAGGTGATGCTATATACACAACATGCTGGACTATAGTTAACATTTGAATTGTGTATTTATATTGCCCATGAAGACGAAAAAGTAAAAAAAATAAAATAAAATTATATAAATTGGGGAAAGACCAACATCGTGATCTGACTGCAATACAGTGAAGCGTTCTGCGGGGTTTGGATTGTGTTAAAATATAATCTTAGGCCTTATTTAGGTTTCGAGTGAGGACTTGTGCAACGTTTCTGATTGGCTGGCGACCCCAATGCGGAAACGTGCTACGGAAAATAGATGACGAGAACAGTGGAATACAAAGTGCGATTGAGAGCAAATTTTGATGAAAGTTCAATCACACCTGAAAAATAAAAGTGAATTTCATTTGCTTCTCTCAATAAAAATAGGCACATGAATAAATGACAGCACAGCCCACGTTCACAAGGCGTCTCTGACTCTGCAACACCGTTGCCAGAACTGCTTCAAACCACTTCGAGGCAGACAGGATCTCTCTGCCAACAGCACAACTGCTGTTATTTCCTGCGCCTCTCCAGCAATGTAGCCCATGTTTCACAGACAGTAGGATTTCATCACATCAAATATCCTCAGAGACAGATAGGGAAAGTATAGTTCACAGCATTTCTTGACATTCTCTACAAGTGGAAGAAGAAGCAGCGGCAGCGAAGGCGTCGCCTACATGGCAGCAGCAGAAACCGAGGCAGACAGGAGGGGGTCTTACGGGGTATATTTTGACAGATTTTATGAGTCCACTCTACAGCAGTGATATTTGACAAAGCTTTCATCAGTCTGACACCTTTGCGACCTTTTCAGAGTCATTCAAGTGGACACGAGATATTTGCCCACTGACAGCTGGCCCTTCGGCGCCGTTCGCGAGGATGACTTTTCTGACTGCTTCAGGCTTTGTTTCTCTCCCTCCCCCCACCTCCCACTGTGCTGGCCTACTTTGTATTGGGGAGATGTCTTCATGAGTCAAGAAAATGTGATATTAACTTTCGTAGCGCAGTGGAGATGAACGAACGCAATGCTTCTTTTATTTCACATTTCCTTCAAAGCAAATATCAAAGTGAAAGGAAAAGTTAGTGTCTATTTTTGTGACTGAACTAGCAGTGTTGATCTAGTTGCTTGTAATCCATTACATACTGCATTACAAGTTACTGGCTGCAACTTGTAAAGTGACGAGTTCTTGTCCTGTCTCTGGACGGTAATCCCTTTCGCATTACCTTTGAGTTACTGTCAAAAAAAAAGAAAGAAAAAAAAAAAGAAAAAAATCCCGACATCAAGCCAACAACAGAGGTAAAAACGATCTGACATTCTGAAGAAGCACATTTGACCTGAATACCACTGATGGCCACAAACAAAACAAAAATCCAAAATTAACATTGCAACCAGCCGTTTACATCTTGTTGGGGGTGCGCTGGAGCTGCCTTCGGGCCAGGAGGATACACCCTGGTTGAGTTGACAGTCAGTCACAGGGCACATAAAGACAAAAACATTATCGAAGCTTCAAATAACAAATAGCAAAATAAATCACCAGCAGCCAGCAAGGGGAGAAGCAAATGGCCACATTGGAAGGGAAGAGCTGAGATTCAAACCCAAAACCTGAGAGCCTTTAGGCCAGTGGTGTCAAACGTACGGCCCGCGGGCCGGATCCGGCCCGCAAAGGACTTTAATCCGGCCCGCGAGATGATTATGTAAAGCAGTGGTGTCAAACATACGGTCCGCGGGCCGTTCAATCAGGCCCCACAGGATAATTTAAAAGTGAAGAAAATGCATAAAAGACACAGAATAAATATTTTTAATAAGGTGCAATTCATTGAGTATCCGCTAGGGGACACTGTTTTTATCAGAGAAGAAGACAACAGCAGCCTCAGTCCATCACTGAGACAGACCCATGACAGCAGACGCTATCAATAGCACTCTCACATTTACACATTTAATAGCACGCTCCTTAGTTTGTAAGGTGTAGGCAGGGATTACATTTAGATTTTATATGCACGTGTAAATGGTTTAAAACTTCCTTTCTTTATAAATCTCGTTTAATCTTAAAGTGCATTACTATATTTTTCAAAACCAATTACTTGTTAAAGTTTGTACAATCAGTGGGATCAGTTGCAATGCATATATGTGAATGATAAAAGTAAATTGCACATTCGTCAAAGGAAATGTAAGGTGCTTCATGAAAT